ACCCAAAAGTGGCAGGAAGAAAATGGTATCCAGAAGTTGCCCTGGCCGAGCCAATATCCTGACATGAGCCCCATCGAAAACCTCTGGGCCATACTCGACCGGCAAGTCCAGAAACAACAACAACAACAACAAAAAAACAACTTCGAAGAGCGATCTACTCCAAGTTTTGAAGCAAGAGTGGGCGAAAATCCCACAATCTAAAATTGACGAGATGATTCTCACGATGCCCCAAAGGATCAACGAACTCCACGAAGCAAAAGGAAGATCTACTCGATATTAATCAAATTTTAAATATATCAATTCATGAGATTATAACTGAAAAATTTCATTTTTTTCTGAAAAGTTGATGTCTATTTACTTGTGGCCACGCTGTGTACGTGAATCTGTTGAGATAATCAAATACAAAAAAGAGAGAGAGAGTAAATTTAAAATATTGAACAAGGATGATGGATATGTTGTCAGCAGATGACGTGCAATTCTTTAATATGTAAATTGTATTATGGTGATTTTTTGTTTGGGTATAAATAAGTGTTATTATTAGAAAACATTGCACTCATGAAGATGACGTAATAAACGTGTCGTATATCAAACTGTTTACAGTTTCATCGTTTTTTTTTTTATCCTGTACAGTAAATTATTTGGTATTTTTGAAACTAGGAATAGACTCATTTTTAGAATTATGTATAATAAATCATTATTTATTAAAAATGAGTTTTTCACATTGAACATTTATACAGGCGCTAATGAATTTTAATAAAAAGTGAGAGATTTAAACACTTTTTTTTGCAATAACAAGAAAAACATAAACTTATTCAATGTATTGTTAACGGATTTCCTATGTCATTTGGAAAGTTAGTTTTGTATCTAACAACTACTAATGAATGTCCCCCGGTGGGACAGTGGCAAGTCTTTGGATTTAGAATGCTGAAATCAGGGGTTCGAGTCCCCTCGTTGGACACAGCAGATAGCACAATGTGGCTCTGCTCTGCAAACACACACACCGGAATAAATAGAATGATCAAATGAAGTCTAGCGAATCCATGAATAAAGATGACCTCGTTGAGCGTGTTTATTTTTGAATTTAGGATATGACTATACTTTTCTGTAATATTTTAACCCATTGAAAAGCAGGAATGGATTTAGCGGATACTTCTATTTAATTAAAGAATACAGTAATTAACTTCAAATTGGCCTTATAGGAATTCTTATACTTGTGGTTGACTGCTATCTCTACACAAATGCATGTTTCCAGTGGCACTGTACCTTCAACAATTTATAAATGTGCAATTGACAGCCCAACATATGGTAAACGGTCATATCTTGTACATAATCTTTGACTTCTTTTACTATCATTTTCAAATTTGAGTATTTACTTATTATCATCAACCAAACTTTTTTTTTTTATCACAGTACACTAGTATGTGGTTAAGCGGCACGATTTTTAGGGTTCATCTAGCTTCTCTTTAAAATTATTATTTGGCAGTAGTGAACAAGATTCAATTTGTGGACAACAAACAACTTCAAATAAATGTTTGTTTTTTCTACCCAATGTTTTGGCTTATGCCTTTATCAAGGATCTGTGAACATTCATAGACCCTTGATAAAGGTGTAAGCTGAAATGTTAGGTAGAATAAACAAACATTTATCTAAAGATGTTTATTGTCTTCATTGAAAATGGTTTCCATCCTTCAGTCAGCACTGAAAGTTTTAAAAAAAATAATAAACTTACTGCATATTGCTAAAAACTTTTTAGGATTCCGTGTCCTGGGTTGATCACAATAACTCCGTAAACACTGCTTGACCAACGAAGAATGAAGTTTTGAGCTAGAATTCTTTGTCATATGGTACAGCTTACAAGCTTTTTAAGTGAACTCTGGTTAACAGTTAGTCATTTGATAGCTCTGGACAAGCTGTACAATCAGACAAAGAGCTCTAGCTTGAAACGTCAAAGTCTTAAAATAAAAACATTAAGAAAAAAACACTTGTCAATTGTTTAACCTATTATTTAATTTCAATATTTTTTTCACCCATGCAGTTAACGATATATTTCTTTCAATGGAGAACGAAGATTTCCTGTAGTACGTGTAGTGAAAGAAAATCATCAACGTGCCATCTAATTTTCAAGATGGTTCTGACAAATTCTAAAACTGTGAAGAAATATCTTTGTTGAAACTTTTCTTGTTTTTCACTATAAAACGCATGAACCGTTCCTCTCCTATGAAGCTACAATGTAATATTTACAGTTTGTTTTAAGTTTAGTTGTAATCATTTCAACTTCTTTCATTTCAGAAGGATAGCCTACTGTTCAAAAGCAATTGAGTTTTGGGTATTTTTCTGCTTAAAATGTACGTATAGTTCATAAGGTTTCCATGAGTAAGACAAGTTTTTTTTACGTTAGATTTGATACGAGTTCTTACTGATCATGTGATATTTTGGAACTTTTTTGTGTAGATACCTCAAAATGGTTTTAAAATAATACCATTGTATGCTAAAAAAAAGAAGATCTAAGTTTATCTTCAAACTAATAAGATTAAATTCTGTTCTATAATTTATGTTAAAAAATAAAAAGAAGAATCTAATTATTGATGGCATTCTAAAATGTCTCTCCTAGATTTGTGATATAAAAATACCAATTAAATTCTAAACATCAACTTTATAAAAAAGTATTTGTTATTGAAAAATAAAAACTTCACACTGAAGGAGACCAAGCAGAACAAGTGACTGAGAATTAAATACTTCAACGTGACTTTTTTAGCAGCTACAAGTATTTTGTTGGGATTTTCTCAAAGAGAACTTGAACAGTAATTCTGCAAGTCCAACTAAAATGAACAATTACAGTTACTATGTATAATAACTACAAATACAGATTATATTATTTTAACCTTATGCTTACATGGAAATACACGATCAATAATTGAACCGTAACTAAGAACACAATTCAAACAGCACATGTAGTTACTTCTATCATTCAAAGTATTAAAAAAAACACGAAATATACAAAAAAAGAATTTTAAAATATACTTCAGGATGTATTTTCCTGTAAAATCAAATCTAAGAAGAGAGAGAGTAACTAATTAATTTTACTTTTATCATCATGTTAGTAACAAACACAAGATTAGTACTATAGACATTGTTACAAAAAACACTTTTATTGATCCTTTGAGAAATGTATTTTAAAACAGAATGTTCCGTCAAACTGATTCATACATTACAAATATAAATTTACTATCAGACTACTTGCTGGCAACAGAAAATGTTTAAAGTGATTAACACATGTATATGTATGAGAAATTAACTTTTTCATGTAAAACAGATCATGTATAGTGCCGTAACTTCTTCATAATTTAAAATAAGACTGATTACAATTACCGACAAACACCTGCTTGTGTAAGTTGAAATTTTTAAACACGGACATGACTGATGAACAACCTTATGGAAGTAGTCAGGTGTGTCGGGTACAATTTGTGTAAAAACAAACATTTATAAAAGTGTTTAATTTCATCACTGCTATCTGTCTTTTACATAAACAATGTTTGTAGATGTAAGTTCTAGATCTAAGACAGATGAAAATTTATTTAAAAAACAGAGTAAGTTTGCCAATACCATTTTTTTACTTGTCTAGAAAATGTATATTTTAACAATATATTTATTTTCCAAACATTCTTTTTAAGAGCTACTATAATATTTCATTTATTTTTTTCTTAAGCTTCAACTTAGTTTTAAAACAACATAAAGAAAAAAAAAATGTTAAATTACTGCACAAGCTACTGTCAAAATACTCTGTATCACATAGTTTATGAACATTTAACATGTCACATGGTTTTAAGAAAAGGTGTATTTCTAGGTAAATGCGTCTTTTTATGACAACTAGAAATAAAAGTATTTTATTGTGGCCAACAAGTAATCCCATAATTACTTTCAATACATAACCTCGTTGTTCGAAGTTCGTGGCCTCTTTATTTTTTCCAGGTTTTTGGTAATAACATCATGGACTGTTGCCTAGAAATCAGATAAAAATTTCATTAGTGAATACTAGAGTAATTTCTAATATTCTACTACATCTAAAGATATTTCAGAACTTTACCATACCAGCAACTTGCAATGTCCGACTTGGACAACCGGTGCATCATTTCATTAAAAATTAAAAAAAAAAGCTTTGTTTAGCATATTTTGTTGGTTTTAGAAGCATAACATTTTTTTGGTAGTTGCAAATATATTAAAATAAAAAAAAATTGTAAAACGTTTGTAGCAAGTTAACACAGGACTGCAAGTTAAATATGATCCAGATCTAATCATCTACCATTGTAAGTGTTAAATAGAAATAGCACAGCATAGTAAAAAACCTGTTAAAACCAATTATGGATGTGAAAAGCTAATTTTATATATTAGAAAAATTCCATATAAATATTCTTTAAGTTTTTGTCTTTTAATATTTTTTTTTGTTTTTATTCACAAAAATTATTAAACATACACAAGTAGACAGTTGATTTAACCCTCTGTATAACCCTGTCAGTTTCCACTTTACTTGTATAACCTACTGTGTTGAACTGGCAATACACACACACAGGTAACTAGCTGATGACAAAGTCTCTTAATACCAAAAAAAAACAAACAATTTTTCTCTACAACACTTTATCACAGAAGTCGTGAAATCAAAGCTGTGTCATCATCAGCAGGTTGACCAACTCTTTGGAATCATTTATGCAGTGGTACTTCAGATTTTGACTCAAATAAAGCATCATTTTCTTACTCTGACTGTTCTTCAACTGTAGGAACATCATTTTGCTTTGTGATCCACTACTTCCTCCATATTCACTAGATTTTCTCATACCAATCCTTGAATAAGAGATCAATGCGACATTTATGCAGCAATACTTCAGATTTTGGCACAAATAAAGCATCGTTTTCTTATTCTGACTGTTCTTCAACTGTAGGAACATCATTTTGCTTTGTGATCCACTACTTCCTCCATATTCACTAGATTTTCTCATACCAACCCTTGAATGCAACATGTGTATCTTTGCTTTAAACCTCAGAGCGAGATGTAATAGTTTCACCGTTAATAGTCTGTACTTGGCTACAAAGTAAATGATGACGACTGATGTTGCTTATAATCTTTTTATATTGCTTCTAGAATGTTTTTTCTCAAGCTTGCAGAACATTTTCAGGAAGGAGCTAGAATGTTCCAGAAATTTCTACAGTGTTCTGGAAGTGGAGCTCTATAACTCTCCTGCACATTTAATGAAAAAAAAAAGTTACATCATTGGCATAAAACAAGATGTAAACCCCAGGTGGTATAAGTACAGAAAAAAAAAGTCATCAAATCTTCATTATGGAAAACATGAAATTGGAAAAAATGTGAATTGTTAGTTAGAATCAGTTATAATAATGAAGAAACTGTGTGTCACAATCACTCTGGCTCAACCTGTGATGAGTAATATAGCAGTTTTCAAAATAATACAGAAAATATGACTTACATAATGATTTTTTACTTCACTTAGCACTAATCTTAGTCCAAGATATTCCTTTTCATCGAGCTCATCTACTGTTCGCCGATAATCCTCCTGCAAGTCAAGCTTATCATGAATTTCACATTCTAAGTTCATACAAGATATTACAGAATTATTGTACACTACAACTGTAAAAATATAAATTACAAAACGCATACTCTACGAGCTATTATGTTCAATTTCTAATATGAGTAAATATTAATAAAGTTTTAAAAATAAAGCAATATCATATGCTATATCATGTCCAAAATTAAAAATTTATTAACGAGTATGTAATGTTATTACCTCACCTCACAACATTATTCAAAGTAATCTCTTAAAGCCACCAATTTCACTCAATCATTAAAGCAACAATACAGAGCTAAACCTTGCTTTATCATTATGCTTACCAATATATTGTAATTTTTCTCAGGGGTATTTTTTTCTGCTGAGAAAATACAGAAAAGTGTTAAGTTATTCAAATGGTTAAAGTTTAAGAAATGTGTATAGTATTTATATTCAGCAAATAGATACAAACAAATGCAATACGACAGAAAAGGACAAATTCATACATTGTGGGGAACGTTAACATTAGGTATGTAAGCCCTTTGCCTGATATCATGTTTCCATACAGTTTATCAAGGAATGACTGTAGAATGTTGTTCTAAGTATTCTGTAACACATTCCACAATCCATCAATGTTGTTTTGTTACCACGTAACTTTCACAGCATCCAAATAACTCCCATATGGCCTCAGTGATGTTTATATTAGGACCTTGTGAAGGCCACAACATCATTGTAATGTTCCATCAGCCTTTTTTTTTACATTCCAAGTACAATGGTTGTATTCTTGGTGTCTTTGTCATGCTGAAAGATGAAATTCTGCCCAATGAGACTCATTTTTGAAGGAATGGCATAATGGATCAGAATCATGGTGGCAGTCAACTTTATGCGAGTCCCAACACCCCTGGCTGAGATACAGCCCAATAATTGTACTTATCAATGGTTGTATTCTTGGTGTCTCTGTCATGCTGAAAGATGAAATTCTGTCCAATGAGACTCATTTTTGAAGGAATGGCATGGTGGCAGTCAACTTTATGCGAGTCCCAACATCCCTGGCTGAGATACAGCCCAACAATTGTACTTATCAATGGTTGTATTCTTGGTGTCTCTGTCATGCTGAAAGATAAATTCTGTCCATTTTTGAAGGAATGGCATGGTGGCAGTCATCTTTACGCGAGTCCCAACACCCCTGGCTGAGATACAGCCCAACAACTGTATTTATCCACCCGTATGATTTACAGTAGCTTTCATGTACCAACTGATATACAACTCTTCAGTTCATCTTTGAATAAATTCCCATTGATTATTGATAAACAGATCAAACTTACTCATCTGTAAATAGCACTTTTTTTTCAGGTTTCAACATCCCACAGTTATATTTATTTTGCCAATTTCAGTGTTTTTGTTTTGTTGCCTCTTCTCAGTAAAGGTTTCTGAGCAACTACACGCCCATCAAGTCGATGTGTATCTTAATGTTTGTGAAGCAACATTAACGCCTGTACTGGTATCAAGGTCATTCACAAGATCTCTACTGGGTCATCGAATGTTTACTGAGGAATTTTACATCACCTTTGGATAGTTTGGGTTTTCTTCCTGGATGACTCTGTTGTCAACAGCACCAGTTTCATGAGCCCTCTTTAGGGTCTTGCATATAGATCTGGGTGAAATGTTCAATCAGGCTGTGTCCCGTCAATAGGAGTAGCCTTCTTTAGTTAAAACTTTGATTTCTATATGCTTTTTGTGTGTAATTTCCTTCACAGGATCCATCAGGTTCATTACGAGTTTGAAACTTTAAAACTCACTGATTATTACGATATATAGGCCCTGTGTTGGTTTAGCACTTTCAGATTGGTTGTCTGACACATAATCATGTTGTGCTACGTAAAAACAACACTGAATCAGGCAACATTATTTTTACATAAAGAATATTATTCTATCCTGTGTAAGTTGCATATCAAACCCACTTTGTTTCGATAATTATCTCCAATATTGTAAATACTGAAATTGATGTTTCTGTTGCAACTGAAATAAAACCACTGATGGTTGATGTCATAACTGAAATAAAACCTCTGACCATGAACAACTTATTCTTTTAGGAATGAGTAAATAAATAAGTTCTCATCAACCATCAGAGGTTTTATTTCAGTTATAACATCAACCATCAGAGGTTTTATTTCAGTTATGACATCAACCATTGTGGTTTTTATTTTTTTAGTACAAAGCTACATAATCAGCTATCTGTGTTCTGTCCTCCATGGGGATTTGAACCCAAGATTCTGGTGTTGTAAGCCTGTAAACTTACTGATGACTCATCAGGGGAAACTTCTGTCAGTTGATTATCATGTAATTCAAATCTTAATAATCCTATTGTTTGTTCGTAGTTAAGTATGTGTGCTATGCCCACCACAGTACTAAATCCTATTGTAATAACTTTATAGATGCAGTTAGTAATTTGTACTTGAACATTAAATACCATAATAAAGTGTCATTAAATCAACGTTTTCTTATCTATAAAACAGATAACTGCAGAAGTCTTCTTTACTTGTAAAGAAATTGATAAATTATCAATCTCTCTTAAACTACGAAGAGGTACATTGATTTAACAAATTTAAATATTCTGCAATTGCTAATTAAATAAGTTTTAGTAAGTTTAAAGTGCCCCACTATTTGCAACTAACGTAACTGAAACATCTGTGTATAAAAACTACTGCTTGTTTTATAAGAGCTTTTCAATTTTAATGTGCCAAGTTTAAAAACGTTGTTTAGTAACAGATTTGTTGCTACATCTTGTAATATACACAATTCAGAACTTTTGCTGGAGTAATGTCTGCCTTGTTCTCACTGCTTGTAATGAGATGTTTTTCAACTTACTATGTCAGGATATTTTGCAACTTTTGATACAATTTTAGCTCTTGTCAGAACTTTTGCTGGAGTAATGTCTGCCTTGTTTTCACTGCTTGTAATGAAATGTTTTTCAACTTACTATGTCAGGATATTTTGCAACTTTTGATACAATTTTAGCTCTTGTCAGAACTTTTGCTGGAGTAATGTCTGCCTTGTTTTCACTGCTTGTAATGAGATGTTTTTCAACTTACTATGTGAGGATATTTTGCAACTTTTGATACAATTTTAGCTCTTGTCATATAGTATCGAGACAGCTGATCAAAGTACGAAGCACCTTCGCTTTCCACTGTTCTAATTTCTC